TTGTTTCTTGCATGCAAAACCAAGTTGTGGAAGTAACAGCAGAGTGGGGAGATGCAAAAATGGACGTTATCTCCCTACATTCGGACGGTCAGGGTGGGGAACATGCTTGGTTCTGTCTACGGACGGATATTTCAGGAATAATCTGCCAGAAAACGTTCATCGTCACCCTGTACCACAAAAGGTTTACTGATACACGCTATGAAAGAAAGACTTCTTTTGTCTTTCCCTCACGTCACCACCGTAGATTTCCAATTTCCATTGTTGCTGTATTGAAGTTTAAAGCGTCAAAGTTCAGCACACAGCATACACAATCGTGTCTTGTTTGACGAGGGTGTCAAGGATGATTATGGTGATTGAAAATTGGTTACAAATTTGCTGCTCTTCAATTCTTAATAAGATTGGGTCCCTTAAGTGTGGTCTCATCTGAACAAAGCCTGATCGATTATCGATCGGCTGATACTGTAAAAATCGTTCTGAAATAAATCCAATTAGTAGCGGCATGGAGTTCAAATTTAGTGGACTACCTTTCGCCCCAAAGCCAATAATTTTCATAGGTTGATATCGATCGTGTTCAGTAATCACCAAATTTCATTTAAGGACTACAAAGCCCTGGTTTTGTCCCAGTTCTCACACTTGATCCCTCAGTTCACTTGGAAATGTCCGAGGTTTCTGGAGGTCCCCAGCCCTTGCGGCTACGTTCTGCTCCACATGAGGCGTTCCAAGGGCGACCTCGACCCATCCAATGATCTCAACTCATCTCTTCAGACGGAACAGATGAGATATTTGTTTTATTAATAGTGTAGGATTTACTCACACTAGAAATAAAGTAGCGATTCCTTTATTCCAGTACAATAGTACAGTAATTTCCTTGTTCCAGCCATGTATGGGTAATATTAATAAAAACGCTAAGTTGCTAAGAACAGTGTTGACAAAGATAAAAAAAATGCAGACGTAGAACTCTGGTCGTCCCGTGAGCTATGGCCGTTTGTGTCAAGGCTAATCATTGAGCACTCTGTTCGAATGAAACATATGCTGAGAAGTCATCCTAACAACTTTCAATACAATAGAAACAATTATAACAATTCCTTCCAAAAAGTTTCGGATAACGATGTCGGTCATAAGCAGTTTTAGCTCAGAGTCTCAGAACAAGGCAGGTCCGTGCTGGAGCATAGACCAAAAGGTGATTTCGGCGACCATTGTAGCCTTCGGGGAAGGTGTGGTGCACGGAAGCCGAGCTGCAGACGATTGTGACCACCGAATCGCTCCTCATCACTGTTCAACACCATTTTGTAGCTGAAACAAAGAGAATATTTATCAAGACTCAACATCAATTTTTTGGATTACGCCACGCATCCAATTCAATCTGGTTCGTAGTGCCTGTTGAATGGCAACTGGCGCACATACTACATATGAATTGGAGAAGCTATAGCCAAATACACGGCAGTGTTTGCGATTGATTGCCAGCGTTTTTGGGCCGGTGTTTTTGGTCGCGGGTAACGATACGCAATTACCACGAGGGAGCCGGGTTACGAGCAAAACACTTCCTCTTACAGAGGCGGGAGTCGAACTCGCATCTCTCGCTTTTCCGCGCGCTGAGGGACGGGTTATCACAGGAATATTATTCTCCCGGGTACAACCCGTCTCAAGCGTGTTCTTTGCCTACAACCTAGCATTCTTGTGCTAAAGAGTACTGTTTTAAACCTTAACACCTTTGTGGGTTCTGACCAACTAAGGAGGCTCGTAGACGTGAAAGGCTGGATTGGTCTGGGCGATTATTAATCCATCCCGGGTGTTAGCGATACCACTTACCACGACCCTTTTGCCCTTTACTCAGCGAGTAGGCGCCCCCTTCAACAGCTAGTGCTCATGCGTATGGTAACTAATTCGGGTTCTTTCGATACTAAAACCTAGAATTTGGACCTATGACGTTCCCAAACCAAGGCTGACCCTGCGCAGAAGGCCGACAGAAACTGTAACCCCAATAACTCACATTCCAGGCATTTCCACGCCAACTTTATAGTCGGTGAAGCTTTTCGTTGTATGGAAAGTTGAATACGAACATTCCGACACCAGCTCTTCGAAGCAAATCATTTTGTATGCATGGTGCTTGACCGAGACGTTATGCCTTAACAAATGGATTGAATATAAGAATTTACCCAATTATTTGAGGAAAAATAGGCGAAATCAATTGAAACAAAATTGAAAGCCTCACGGGGTCCGCATGCAGGAAACCTGAAGGCCTCTTCAAGCCTATTCATCTCTTCATCCCATTTATTTAACCACTTATATCTGCAATATTGAAAGTGTCCCTATTTAATATTGAAATATTTTTATATATTTAAAAGTATTTAATATTCGAATCGAAAAAATCCGATTGGATTAAAGGAAGTAGGTACGGAAAGGAATTTTCACATCTGCGGAGAACCTGCTCCCCACAGAGCAATTAGCAGGCCGCCAAGGAAGCGATGTGTGGCGCTTCCACTGCGAACAGTGCTGTGGTTGCTGAGCAGGACCATTGCGCCCTTCCGCCCCATGCGCCGCCCCGCCCACTGGTTTTGTTGATGATCTGGATGGACTGATTGCTGTTGGCTTTTCATTTTGGATGATCTTTTCCCATCTAGCGGCTGTATCTTCCATCTTGCCCATGTTATGCCTTATCAATCGAAACACTATGCTTGTTGGCATGATGGCAGCTATCGGGGTTAACACGTCCGAACAACGTCAGTCTTTACCGTCGCTCATCCATGATCGAAAATGAAAGGGCAATCAAAGGGGCACTATTTTGCTTATTTTTGACGGATTTCTTTGCTTTTTTCGCCACTGATGTACTATTGAGGACCCCCTCGTCCCCTCCAAACCACATTTAAACCTAGCGTAACCGCTGCCTTTTAAGTAATAATAAATCCGACCAAAGTACCTCAGAAGTTCATCATCAGCTAAATTAAATTGTCTCCTAGCATAATGGAATGACTCATTGTTGCCGATACGTGGGAAATCCAAACCATTCTGGATGACCGAATTCATTTCCTAAAAATCAATTTTGAGACACAGAAATGGAGAAAATACAAAACAATTCAGGTAAGATAAGAGGTGGATGTAGCAACACCACCACGAAAAAATTGCTGAATAAGATATACGGAACTGAACAAGCACTCTTTAAGCGCAATTCAGACTCCTGGGCCTCGTGATTTCAGCTATACGATTTTTTGCCTTCTGTGTAGAGCAACCTTTGGAATTTCGGTATCCGCCCCCAGAGGCCCGTCGCGCGGCAAGAATGCCGAGTCAGCGGACGAGTCGCGCGCGTATTAGGGAAATCGCGTCAAGTTAAATAGAATGTCCCATTGCACGTCCTTCATCGCACATCACGCGCCGCGACTCGTCCGCCGACTCGGCCTTCTTGCCGCGCGATGGGCCTCCTGGGGGGTACCCGAAAATTTCAGCAATTCACAGAGCTTTGAAATGATGTGGAAACTAAGATGAAAAAGGGGTCGCATTCTAACCCCCCCCTCCCGTAGCCCGTGAATTTGCACTCTCACTCAGATCAGCCGCTATGTGTTACTCGGGAACGGAACTACGTACCATGGCCGGGGCCAAAAAGTTGGCCTGCAACAAACCAGGCCATACACTGTAAGATTTACACCGTATCCATATGAGTTCAA